TTATAAGATTGTGAGAACTTCAAAAAATAATTCCCCACTTCCAAATAATAAGTATAATCCTGTTATACAAGATAAAGCATAAATCAAGTATTTATTTACATTTTAAAACATTTATGAGTAATCCTTTTGGTTATCATTTAAATATTTGGGATATTATAATGTTATTGAATTCCAAGGATTTACTAATACAGCATTATCAAAATTAGCTACTGTCTGATTTACGAAGATTTTTAAAACTGGCTTATACTAAAGTAATTAGAGTATTTCTATTTCCAAAAAGTATTCTCCTTAATTGATATATGATCCAACATCTTATAATATGTGCAAGTTGCTACTCCATTTTTTCTTGTCTATACTTTATAATTAAAAAGTTATAGTTTCAGATAATGGTTAAAACGTGTAAATTTTTACATACTGGTTAAACATTATATTAATGTATTATTTGTTATAAGTCATATTTAGATAATTAATTATTAATTTTGGAGATCTTAAAAAAGAGCATTAAGTAGGAGAATCTTTTAATATTGTCTAACAGATCCAATTTTCTTCAATGACACATTCATTACTACATCCATCAGCTATTTAATCATTTCCATCATCACATTACTCTTATTCTTATAATAATCCATCTCCACAATTCAATTATTATTTATATTAATTCAAATTAAGTAATTGATATTGATTATTAAATTTTAAACAAATACCTTGATAACAATCATCACAATGAAAAGGACAACAATTATAACAACCATCAAATTGTATATTATTTCCATCATCACATTCCTCTTCTTAAGTAACAATTTAATCTCCACAAATAGAGTGACAAGCATTATTTACAAATTCATATTCATTGCCACATTTCAATAAACATTATCCTTGATCACAAATATCACAACCCTCTATACATTGAAATTAACATTCATAACAACCATCAAAGGGTTCTAAATTCCCATCATCCCAATCCTCAAATTATTCTTGAACAATCCTATCTCCACAATAAGGATAACATGCTTATCCTAAACTATAATATCCTTATTCACATTCTAAACATTATGTAAAATATGAAGCTTTTCAATTACTAATAGTTATATATCTACAATTCTCACAACCACTTTAATTTTCATCCTCTCTAAAATCACATTATTCACCTGAATATGGGATTACAATTCCATCTCCACATTTAGGATCACAAGTATGGTTATTATTTATAATAAATCCATCTTCACATTCATAACAGATTCCAAATAAACATATAAACATGTTATACAAAAATCAATACAAGAAAAACGACATTAAAAACAACCATCTTTATCTATTTGATTTCCATCATCACATTCTTCTTATCCTTGAATGATTTTATCACCACAAATAGGATGACAATTCTTAAAGTATTCATCTTAAATCCAACCATTTTGACATCTTAAGCATTAATCACCTTTCAAATCTATACAACCTTGGGAAAAATTTGGAAATTTGATTTCTGGCTCTGTGTAAAATAGTTCAAAATCTCGTATTAAACTTTTGAGTTCCTAATCTTAAGTTCTAAAATTTAATTATAATATCGGATCTTGGTGATTAGTTATTAATATTTCAACTAAATGGTAATATTCATTAGTAGTTTTCTAAATCCCATATTTATAATCTAAGATAATAATCCCATTATCTCGTTTATAAAACCTTATTAATAATCTTAATGAGGAGGTAGTTGAATAGAATAATTAATTATAGAAAATTTTAAATATTAACAATATCCACAATAGAAATCCTGATAAACATCTAATGTAAAGCTCCACCCATCTTAAATTGTTATTAATTTATTATGAAATGAATACTCATGCAATTTCCAATTTAAACAACTTATTGAATGAATATATATACACCCAATACATCCATACTAGCATGAGATAATACTTATTTTTAATCCTAATAATCCTCCTTAACCTAAGTCAAATCTCATCCAAAAATTTCTTCTATTATGTTAACGAATTATGGTAATTGTTTTAAAATATTCCATATTCTAA